TGCAAGTTGCCTGGCCTTTATTCTGCAGTGCTGCTAATCTTTAGTAGTTGGGCCCAAACCCCTTGCGTCACCCACTGCCTATCCCCAGAGCCCACTCCCTAGCAGAAAGTTAGATGGATCTTCAAAGAATGTTTTGGTATAGCTTTTTATGAAGCACAGGTGGGAGTTTGTAACCTACGGAATTAGAGCGAGTGATAGTGTCCACATTTGAATCGGTTCCAAATTTCATCTGTGGATATTTAACACAGTGCTATAGTCATCTGGGTGCACCATCTCTCTTACATCAGATTTTAGGTCTCTAGGGAGATGTGATTTCCCATACTTACACCACAGGGTTTGGTATAATTGTAAACAGTATTTCATTAGCTGGTCAAAATTTGTACTACTGCTTTGGGTTACACAACAATGCTACCAAAGTGGTGAAGTAAGAAAACAGCACAACAGTGCAACCCAATTTTACCGTATTTTACTAGCTAGCTATTCTAGTTTTACTTCATAGGCTGTGTAATGAAATTAGCTAGTCACTTAATTCCAGCAATCTTGCTAGTTCTTCATCCTTAACCTAAATGCCCCCTTTTCCCTGCCAACCAGGGGCTTTGAATAAAGACCCCCCACTCCAAGCAAGTCTCTCATCCTAGGTTCAGCACCATACATATTCCTCTGGTACAAACCTCATGTTGATGTGGAGGAGAGACATGCCTTTAGGTAACAATGGCATTTCCAACCACCCAGCAGCGGCTAGATCTATGCTTCTCTGCGAACCTCTCTAGTCAAAACTATCTTCATAAATCTGTAACATTGTCTTTTTCACTTTCGTAATTATATTATGAAGCTTTCCCTGAGACTACATGAGGTGTAATATGGCAACAGATTAAATGCAGACAGATATGAAAATCCAGCTGTTTTCGTTGGAAGTCAGACACTGAAGCAATTTGCAAATAAAAAAATCCATGACGATAAATTGCAACATAAACAAAATCTAACACTTATGCATGTCAACGGCCCTGAAACCAATGTCTGAGGCCTCCCGGATAGATTATTTTTAAGTACGTGCACCAGTGGCTAACCATTGAAGTGTTTG